ACGAGTCTCCACATTAAAATTTTAACTAGGGGGATTATTATTAACATGGAGCTGTTTGATCTCTTTGACATTGAAATATGTATGTATGGGCAATTTCGTGTCAAGTGACCCAACTCAAAAAATCGATTTGGATGAGACTCCGGCAGTTCTTGACCGATAGAGCTAAACATTGTGTCTGGCCTACTATTCAATAGTACTAACCTTGGTGCAAATTTCATCCATATCGATTTTTTCAGTTGGGTCACTTGACACGAAATTGCCCATATACTTGCGAATATTTACCTTTAACTTTTTCGGAGTAAAATATTTTATATACACGATTTTAAAGTCAATATCTTTGGCATTAAAATGAAATCAAAAAATATGCTGGACTTTCAGAGTTATGGGCAATTACGTGTATATACTTTTAGATTTTTCTAACAAAAAGTCATTGATTTGAGGAACACTTTTACACCATTATATGTGTAGTAAATTTCATTAAAATCGAATATGTAAAATCCGAAAACAGCAGTTTCCTCTCCGTTTTGATATGGATTATCACAAATATAAAAAGAATAATTCATAGGCAAAATGATTTGAAAATGTGCTAAAAAATGCATTGCAACATTTAAAATTCTTCACATTTGTCAAGAAATTGCCAAATACATATATATCTATAACAAGATTTAAATAAATGGCTACATGGTAACTCTTTTTATTAAACTTGAATAAAGCTTTCGAGTTATGAAAATAGAGAGAATGAGAGCTGTAGTATGAAAGCTTAAATAAATAAATTAAGAAAACCGTTATCGTTTGACAGCGAATTTAATTTTTTTGAATGTCCGTTTTTAAAAAAACAGTTTTTTAAGAGACTTAATAAAATCTAAAAGATTTTTTAACAAAAATAAATAAAACACATATTATAAAAAAACTTGTGATCATTTCCTTATTTACGATCACTTATTTTTAATTAACATAGGTTACAAATGTCCTGATATTTATAGAAAATTGTTATAAAATTGTATAAATCTTTTATGTTGTCTCAAGTCAGGGAATCGTATTGCTTTTTTACTTGTTTTGTTGTGAAAAAAATTTTAAAATAATTTGTGTAATAGTGTTACAGTTTTTAAAGTGCAATAGTTTTTTTTTAGTAAATACTAGTTCGTGTTAAAAGTACGTTCGCAGCTATCAAATATTTGACGAAAAAATGTAGCCAATATTTTTGTAAATGTTTATTGGTACTTTCATGAAACAATGTTGAAATAAATAAAGGCGATCTAAAGTGATTATTTCAATTAGGAGTCACGTCTAGGCATGCCAATCGGGACTGATATTTAGAAATCCCGGGATTCGGGCCATATTATTTTTAGTTATATCCCGTGTTCTCTAACCCAAATAAGGGAATTATCATCTCGCCATCTTATTGACAGGTTGACTTCCATTATAGATTCTAATACACTCATTAGATATCCGATTATTGCCCTTTTTATACCCTACACTACCTTAGTGGGGATGGTATATTGGGTATGACCGGAGTAGTGCTTTTGTTTTATACTATCCTTTAATACCCTGATGAATTTTGAAATGATCGGGCTTCTTCTGATCCTAGCCCCCATACACAGCTTTAAAAAATAATTTTTATTGCCCTTTTTATTTTTGATATTTCAGCTTGTAAGTTAGTAGAGTCATCTTAAGTCCAAAAACTTTTAAAATAGCGGAAAAACACTTAAAAATTGGGATTTCATTTTTTAAAATCCCGGGTTTTGGTACTTTCAAATCGGGAATTCCCGTTTGACATCCCTAGTCTCGTCATGTTCGTGTAAGTGTACCTTAAGATTTATAGATGTATTATTAATTTGCAAATATTAGACCATAGATATCGTAAAAAATTAATTTCTTGCTTTTTCTTAATATACCCACATCCATACATAAGTACATACACATTTTGTTGTAAAAATCTTTTTAAAGATAATCATATAGAATTGAATGATAAACAGTTATTATTGTTTACTTTACTATAAAATTCAGATACTCTATTTTCAAACGAGCGTAATGATAACAAACCTAAATAACAACCATAATAACAAATAAATAAAATTATTTACATACATTCTTACATATGTACATATTTATATATAAATAAAAGATGCAGCAAAAACAATTAAATTACAATTAAAATAAAAACAATAGAAATATTCTTGCTTTTCTACTACAGAATAATTGTAGTATGTATTTCATAGCATACTCTACACCAAAATAATAATGTTTTTTAGCTATTGTCAATCCGTTTGGAACGCGAATTGCATTCCATAATGTTCACTACTTTAAAATGGCCAGAAAACTTCAGACCACACCGACCCTATGATAAGGTAATTCCTTAAAAGAAGTTATCCACTGACTTTAAACGATAAACAAATTAAAAACAATTGTAGAAAATATATGTATGTACATTAGGGAAAAAACTATTGACATTTGTTGCAAATATTCGAATTGGCATAGCATAGTCGAATAGAGTATTAAAATTATGAAAAACCACTGTATTATTTTATTCTCGGTTACGTCCTCCAATAAGATGTTTTTATAAATAATAACTACTGCTGGCGTACTTCAAAAGATAATTTTAAATAAGGGAAGTATTACTCACATTTGTAAAAAAGTTGAATTTTTTTATATAATGACTGATTAATCATCGTTCAGCCCAAACCGTTAAAGCTAGAATCATGAATTTTTGGCACTAGGTTTCTTTGGCATTGTCTAGAGGATGAAATTGGTAAAAAAAAGGGGTAAATGTTGGTTAAGTAAAGAAATTAGTCTTGGTGCGTGATGTTTTTGTTTCCAAACGGCCCAAAAAAAATTATATTCATTACTTATACAGTATTGGTCATCACGTGGTGGTAAAAAGTTGAATTTTTTTATATAATGACTGATTAATCATCGTTCAGCCCAAACCGTTAAAGCTAGAATCATGAATTTTTGCACACTTTGGCACTGTCTAGACTCTAGAGGATGAAATTGGTAAAAAAGGGGGTAAATGTTGGTTAAGTTAAGAAATTAGTGTTGGTGCGTGATGTTTTTGTTTCCAAACGGCCCAAAAAAAATTATATTCATTATTTATACAATATTGGTCATCACGTGGCGGTAAGTAAAAAATTTCGCCAAAATTAGTTATATGTATATGTACATATGCTAAAGATTTTGGTGAATTTAGAAAAAATCGTTACCAAATTTTAATATCATAATATTTCGAATATTTTCAACATACATACTCAGAAGTACGTCCTACAAACCCACCCAAAAGTTTTTCTGTTAAATCTCGGAATAGAGAGAAACGGATTCGAATACTTCATATTTTTTTATTGTTTCGGATGCCGATAGTCAATTCTACGCGGTATTTAAACGATTACATTATGTACATTAGGGTGGCCCTGTTTTTATGAAGGAAAAATAAGATGTCAATGTTCTCAACTAAAATTAAAGTTTAATTGATTCTAAGATACCATTTCTCCAAATTTTTGTCCTGCGGTCAATCTTTGACGAGCTGGATCAAAGGATAAAAAGGTCCTTTTTTGAGTTTTTTATGATTTTTTTCATATATCTTCCAAAGGAAAAATATAAAATTTTGGTATCATAAGAAAGGTTATTGAGAGACGCTTTCAATGGCATATAAGAAATTTTTGTGTAACAGTAAAAGAAATTTTAAATTTTTTCGTAAAATTTTCATATTTTTTACATTTTAACATAGATTAATTTAATATAATTCGTTGAAATTAATACAAAATAATCCTCAATAAAATCTACCGAACCGGGTTTTTCCGTTTTCTAAAATTCAATCTAGATCAAATTTTATTTAAATTTATCGAAGCCTGTGTACGCTACCAAAACATTGGGAAATAATGTAAAAAATAACATAGAAACCATTGTTTACAAAGCAAGCATAACAAATATATAGATGTTTGGAATAAATTGGGTTAATATTTCAGTTAAACTGAAAAATTTGATTGATAATAGAATGAAACCATTAAGTCTTATATATCATTGAAAAGCTAAATTAAATTACGCGTGTGCTGATTGATGTACATATAAAGTACGTTAGATAAACTTTTTCCCGAGCGTGAAAAAAATTTCTCGATATTTACTCTTACCCAAATTTTAAATTTTTTAATACAAAATCAGAAAATGTTTAACTCACGGCGAAAATGCAAGGATAGGGGCTACTTTCAATTTCACTACCACTACTGTAAATTTGTTTGTGAATGGTTTTCGAAAATCGATTTGCCGCAGAAGGTTTTTGCACCAAAATGACCCGAGACACTTATTTTCGTTATTAGAACACTACTAGCTATCACGTGATAGGGTCTAATTTTGGATATTCCTTAATGTATATGTAATAGTATAATATATATTATTCAGAATTCCGTAAAAATACTTATATAGCAAGTGTAGGGTATCATATGTCGGGCATTGGGCATGACTATAATTTCTTGCTTTTTTTAATTTGTTTCTTCTATGACACACAGACAGATAAACTTAAGTATGTATGAATGAATGTACATTAAGGTGACCCAAATTGGAAATTGCTGATGTTTCCGCCGAAATTTAAAATTTAGTTCATATTAAAATATTATTTCTCAAAACGTTTGTTCTGTCCTTCTATATTAAGTGAACTGCACCAAATGATAAATAAGTTATTTTTTGAGGATATCACGATTTTTTCATATTTCTTGGAAAGTAAATGTACTCAAATTTGGTATCATATTAAAGGTAGTATGTGAAATGCCTTTGATATTCGCTTTTATGAGCGATTACATAATTTTTGATTTTTTTTTTTTAATTTTTACATAGAATTATTTAACGTAAATAATTAAAATTATTACCTATTAAATCTCATATATGTATGTACATAATTTCACCATATTTTTTCTCCATTTAGATGGGCCACCCTAAAGTATATATACATATACCTACATACATATGTATGCATTTGCATATTATTCTTATTGTCTTATTTCTGCTCATTTCAGTTCTATTTTAACACGCAGACCAGACGATTTGATTAAAACAACCGTCAACCGAAATTTCTACAGACCAACAACAATCAGACGGAATACGACGACTTGGAGACTGATAGAAAAACAATTAAGCACAACAATAGCAACAAACATCAACAACAACAATAAGTATAAAGTCAAATGGAAAAGTGATAAGAACACAAATAAGAAGAAGATTGTTATTCTTCAGATGAAAATTCATTTAAGTTCTTTAACTGAATGCATAAACAAAATAAAATAATACTGAATATAATATTTACTACTTAATTCAAAATAATTTAATTTCTTTGTCAGTTAAAAAAATAAAGTTGTAGCATCATCATCATCATCATCACAACGGACCGACAATCATCAATCAATCTCCCGTCCGTGTAAAAGCGCTTAAAAACTAATTGCCGGAATAGCACAAATGCAAAATTGAAATTGTGAGGAAAATTGTGATTGTGGTAAAAATAAAAAATAAAAACTTAATAAACAACAAGAACAATAAATAGTTAATCATTAAATTAATTGTTGATATTTAAAAATAAATTCTTTTAGTATTTTTAATTATTTTGGACTTGTCTCACTGACTCTGAGTCATTTGAGAATTAAGTATGTCGGATACATGTGGAATAACAAATATAGATGATAACAGGTAAGCAAACTTATCAAGGGATTAGTGCTCAATGTCTGTTTATATTTATACTTTAAAACAAGATTATGAAATTAAACTTTTTAGCTGAAATGGAATACATTGCTTTCAGCTGATAGTTTTAAGTTTTTTGTCTTAAAACTAAAAAAATTAAATTTTCTTTTGCATGAACGTGAGTGATAACTAAATAAAGATTTAGTGCTCTGGTTAAAACAAATACAGTAAATAATAACAGAAATTGAAAAAGCCAAAACATATACACAAAGATATACTTATGTATATTTCTAATGGATTGGACTGCACTGAATCCTATTTTGAATTACATCAGGTTTTCGAAAACCCCGCCTTATGATTTTTTTTACCTTCTAAAAGTCCAATCTGTCGACTTTAAAACAAATATCTTTTGTATATTCTTCATTCTTTGAGAGATCTTAAGTTAAAAAAAAAAACTACTATAAATTCAAAAAAATATTTTATGTATACATATTTTAAACAATTCAAAAAGTATTTTTATGGGAAAATTATGACATACAAGTAAAATAAAGGCATAATGTATTAAAAATTCTCTTTATATAAATTTATGGTTGTTCCAAACTTTACTATAGCTCGTTTAGCATAAAATCGCATAGTCCAAATTCCATAGGAAAGCTCCATGGGAAAATCACTAATTGGGTTTTAAGTAAAAAAAGCATGAATTCAACTAAACCCATAAAAGTCAATTAAAAACGTACATTCATATATAAAAAATCGACAAAGGTATTTTTAGAACCGCATATAAATATTTAAATGCACATAAAACAAAGTTTGAGTATATCTCGAAGAAAGAATAACAAAGTTTAAAAGTTTATTTTGAAGTCGAGAGATTAGACTCTCAGATGGCCTAATACATTTTATAAATAAAAGTGTCTTCGCGCTGGTTAAAACGGTGTTTTTAAAAACTCCAGGACATGATATCTGCAAAACTTGAATGAATCTCGATTGAGAAGTTTTGAGGTAAGATTTATATTCAGTGCAGCTCAATCCTTTACAAAAGTATTCTTTGGTCTCAGGGTTAAAAATTTGGAGGTTTGTGTAATCAATCGGTTTTTCGTATTAGCAATTTTGAAAAGACTGGAAAAATACAATAATTGATATGATAATGAATTTAATTACACAGCCCAACGAAATTAAGTTTTATAATGTATTTTTAGCTGTCGAAACCGAATCGGCATATCATATAGTTATAAAAATATATTTACGTTTAAGGTTTAATTTAGATTTTTTCGATGTCATCATAAAACGAGTCTTCATTATATATTTTTCCTAAGTTTCATTGAAATATGTGGAAAACAAAATAATATTTCACTATCGTTTCAAGAAAATTTGCCAATATTGCAAATAGCTTGAGTTTGACCTTCACATTTTATGGGTTAACATTATTCGATTTTACTGAAACTTAAGATTTATGCATCCAATATCTGCAATTTTATATTCTGAAAATTTTGTATATAAAGTGTATAACAGTTAATAATTAAGAAAAATTTTCAAAAACATTAACAAAAAATTGTTTTTTCCGAAATCCGAAAATTCAAATCACAGGTATCGCTAATTTGTGAGAGATATCGACCTATCTTTACTATTTTATTCCCTTTACTATCTTTACTATTTTATTCCCTTCTTTATTGTCCATTAGTCACATGGAGATTTTCTCAAAATTTTAAATTTGTTTAACAAAATTGTTAAAAATTTTAAACTGGAGTTTTGAAACTGCCGTCTGATTGTTTTTAACATCCTGATTAATACCTACTTATGAACAAATTTTAATGTTTTGCACATTTTAATGATTTTTTTTAAGATATCACTTTTTGGTCGACAAAAAAATAAATATTTGTTATAAGTTAACATGTATTGTTCAAAGAATAGAATAAAAATTCCTTGTAATAATATGAGTAATTTTATAATTTTATGTTTTGTTTAAAAGCTATATACAATTTTTGAACAATTTTGTAGTAAGAAACATATCAAGTCAGTTGTAAGCGGATAGACATAGTTTTCTAATACATTAATTAATTAGAAAACTATGTTAGAAAAAATATTAAGGGTATTCATGAAACACGTATGCAAACTTGCACCTTAGAATAATTGTTTATCTGTATTATTTAGAAGAGAAAATTCAATTTAAAATTATCAGTTCAAATAGGCGAACAAATGTATTAGTGTTGTGGCAGTAAAATCCCATACAATTTGTGACAAATTCAATTTAAAATCGAAAATGCATATATGAAAACCCTTATTGTGTAAAAACATCTCCAAATTTAGATAACGGATTATATCTTAGCAATTACACAAGATTTTTAAACAATTCAAAAAGTTTTTTTATAGTATAAAAATTTAAATATATTAGTTTTTTGTAAAATAAAGGAGATTCTTTTGCCAAATCAATTTATTGTTGTACCAATTCAATGTGTTGTTGTATTTAGAAGAAGAAGTTATATCAGAAGTTAAGCCTTTATTTTAAAGCTGGCAGAATGGACCTTTAGATGGCATACATGTTGTCTTTGCGCTGTTATAACTTCTCAAAAAGGGCCAAAACGCCATTTTTGTCAGTCTGTGCTATCCAGAAAATAGTGATAAAGTTTCCAATACTATGTATAATTGTTATTTTTTACTATGTATTTTTTCTTCGATAATTTCAACTATTGAACATTTATAAACCAATATGATATATATATATATATATATATATATCTATCATATTGGTTTATATATATATATATATATATATATATATATATATATATATTCCGATAATACATCGATAACAAAAGAATTTTGAATTGTTTGTTAGTTATTAGATAAAAAATTCAAAGTTAATTTGAAACAAATCATATCGCTAATTTACTACATTGGCATAATTCAATTTTATTTTATGTACATATATACATATGTATGTATGTATGTATATTTATGTACATATTTTCAAAAATGTCTATTATTTTCGGTGTTGCATTTATAACTTTCTAAAATATAATTGCAAACTTCTGATATATAATATAAGAATTTCTGAAATATTATTTAAAAACTTTTAAAACTAGAATTTTCTAAAATACAATTAGAATGTTATGGCATACAATTGGAAATGGTGCAGTTCTATTTTAGTAATTTTTAATTATATTACAAATTGAATTAAAAAAGTTTAAGGGTCTTAATCATATTCGTTTATATTTCATTGCAGTTCTTTGTATGAAATTTTAAAAAATTGTGCAGCCTTTCAGTCGTACGATAGTTTGCCGATCGAAGATTTTAACGACGTTTGTTTTGGTACAGATTACACTAGTAGTGGGAGTATTTACCTTGAAAATTATCCTAAAATGATATCAACAAATCAATATTCGATCAGTGGCAATATTTCAAATAGCAGTTATACTAGCGAGGACTCGTTGGGCGACAATATTTTGGAAGAGAATGGAAGAATATCATTGGCCTATGAAAACTTGAGAACGATACCCAGAAGAATAGCCGAAAAATTTGCATTACAAACCAAGTTTTTAGATTTGAGTTATAACAATTTTCACAATATATCATTTTTATCGTTCTTTGAGGACTTGCACACTCTCATATTGGATCGTAATACAAATTTGGATGTTAACACTTTGCCATTTTTGCAGAATTTAAAAATATTATGGTAAGTAATTCTCATGCAACAAGAACTTGAAATGCACTAAGAATTTATTTTAACCAATTAGGATTAATAACTGTGATATTAAAAATGTGGTTGATTGGGTCCAGCGTATACGAGTCCAATGTCCCAGTCTAGAGTATTTATCAATCATGGGTAATCCCGGTATCAGAGAACCATTCAATTATTGTTCTTTGAATATGTTCAGCACTTCGACAAACATTGATTCGTTGATAATGCCAACTAGTGTTGTGATGGATTACAGAGAATACGTTTTACAAATGCTGCCACAACTTCAATTATTGGACGGCGTACCACGTAACACCCTATTAAGTGTTTTTCAAGGTTCTTGCAATGGGCTGATGTCATTAACATCCTCATCATCCGCATCACCATTGAACTCAATGGGAAATGGTTCTTCTTCTCAGGGACAGCAATGTAATGACAATGGTAACGTTAATCGAAAAATTTCCCCTTCACTAAGCTTTAAAGATATGTTTCGATTGAAACGACGAAAAAAATCATATCCCAGTTCATCTACAAATTGATCTCGTAGAAGAAGAACATCAATCAACAACAAATGTATGAGTGCAATGGAAAATTTTACGTTTTAAAGATTAATGACACAATCAGAGCCAATTTATTATCATTGGATGGATGTGTTAAGTCGTACATGGAATGTACGAGGTTGTTTGTTTTATATTAAAAAAAAAAAAAAAACAAAACAAAATGAAACAGATCGACGACGACCATTCATACGATACCTACTACTAGTAACAGTGTTACATTAAACATTATATTGTTATTCTTATTATCATTACATATTATTATTATTATTTTTATTAATTAAACATTTAACCCATTCTTATCATCATCCATACTTTTTTATACTCTTATTATTTAGAACATACTATTTTAAAAGTTGGAACATGAACAATGTATACTAGTATATATGTATGTATGTATGTATGTATGTAGTTGTGTATTTAAACTTTAAATTTTAAAGTGTATGTGTTATGATTTATGTAATTTTGTATTACTAGTTTAACATACTTAATTACATGCTAATAAAGTGTTTCAAATTATTTGCATTTAACAATTATTTCAATCATTTTATCCAAAAAATATTGGTTTTCTTTTGAAGGGCGTTATCTTGTACAGAAATAAAAACTATATTTCTGTACAAGATAAAATGGTGATTTGGGGTATCGCCATACGAATAATATGATTTTATATAAGAAGCTTTTGCTCTGAAGTAGGTTTTTGTGTATTTCTACTATTCAGCATAATAAAACAATTAGTTCTTCTATATTTGACATAACAAGGCAGAAAATTGATAACTCTCCCTACTGATTCTACCTTTTACTGGTTGTATCATGCTATTCAGTATCTCGGATAGAACTTTTATTTTCATTTTTTTATGAAAAGCATTCAAAATATATTTAAAAATTGAGTAATTTTAAAACTAATTTTAAATATAAAATTCGGAGTTAAAACAAACTTTTTATTCTATTTTATTTATTATATGTACCCAGGATGCCCTAAGTACATCATGTATGTACCCTTATATTGTGTTCAAAGAACTATTTTAATATTTTTAGTACAAAATACTTATTGGGAAGCTTTCTGTATTAATAAAGTGTATTAATATTGCAGTATGGAAGAGAAAATGTTATTTTTTCTGTAAATTATTAAGATTTTGAAAATGCATTTATATTTTTCGGGATTTAGAAATCAAGAAAAACGCGAATCCCGGAATTTCTAAGAGTCAATCCCGATTGGCAATTTTGGGACCACCCTATTGTATATATCGTCACCTGAAACGCAAACAAATTGATTTTATTGTTGATTCTAATGTATTGCATCAAAACAAATGTCCACACCAAAAATTTTACTCCTCCAAAATGATAAATTTTATTGACAAAAAACAAAAGGCCCTATCTACAAAAACATGAAAATTTTAAATGCAAAGAGTCCAATTTATCCATTTTTATATACGCCATTGTCAACTATTATAACAAATGATAAGTTTCACTATTAAACAATTTGTTTATTTGCTACAAATAAATCGCGTTGATAGAAACAAACTTTTCAATTTAAATAGTTTTTTGCTTCTCCTGTAAAATTTTAAAAATGTTAGATAGGGCCGTTTGCGTTTTAGGTGAGGATATGTACAGTGTCTCTCATAAGTATTCGAATTTAGGTAAACTATGAAAGGAAACCAAATTTAATAATATATTTTGTGTGGAAAATAAATAAATTAATTTGTTATATTGTCTAGATAGTCCTTAGTTTTGATATCACGCCCCTTAAAACTTGAAAACTTTACATTTACTTATATTAGTTGTGCTTTTTTTAAAAATAGTCCATGAAACTACTTCACAAAAGTATGCGAATTTTTCCTGTATTTCATATTTGATCATATTATACGATACAAAAATTTTAGAATCGCATGGTTTTATGCTTAATATTGTTTTAAGGGGTTGCTATCAACCGCATGGATATATTTTTGGCCCATTTGGCCCACAATTTTGGGGGATTTGTACCCTCTTTTCATGTAATATCATTAAAATGGCGATTTTTGGCTATATTTGTAATTTTTTCACCCTTTTTCCAGAGATAAAACCAAAATTTAATATTGGAATTTAATAGAACCCATAGGGTATCTAAAAATAATATTTTTTGTTATAAGGGTCTGTACTTAAAAGTTCCAAGATGTATTTTTGGTATCGTTTTTTAGTTTCTAATTGAATTATCTGGATCATAAGTCCCTTTTCGTACCTCTAGGGACGATATTTTCCGACAAAGTTGTCTAGTGTATATTGATGTACATATTGGCACTAATGTATTTTAAATTTTCAATATATTATAGCGGTATACAACCCCAAAACATGCCTTAACAAAACGTCATCCTATATAGTAGATTTCAGTTTTTACTACTCGTAACTTTCACGCTTATGTTGCCCGTTACAATAACACTGTAAGTCCTAAATTTTGGTTTTAATTTGATCATAGTAAATAATATTTAAACACATATCAACATTTTTGATGTGATCATAATGATATCGTGCCATGCAGCATGGAGGCCATTGGTATATAAAAATTATGATTTTACTATTTTGAATGGTGCTTCTTCGAGGCATGTTTTGGAGTTGTACACTTCCACAACACATTGAAAACTTAAAATGTATAAAAGCTGATATCTAAAAGAATATATACCAGAAAACTTTCCCGGAAAATAGTTGATCCTAGTATTATAAAAATGGACTTAAGTTCCAATATATTGAATTAGCGACAGAAAAATGATCCGAATAATTTATCTTGGAAAGTTTAAATACAGATTCTTGTAACAAAAAATATTATTTTTAGATACCCCAAGGGGTCTTTTAAGTCCCAATATCAAATTTTTGTTTTATCTCTGGAAAAAAGGAGAAAAATTTACAATTATGGCCAAAAATAGCCATTTTAATGATATTACATGAAAACAGGGTACAAATTCCCCAAAATTGTGGACCAAATGGGCCAAAAATATATCCTTTCCGTAGATAGTAACCCCTTAAAACAATATTACGCATAAAAACCATTCGATTCCAAAATTTGTGTTGCGTATAATATGATCAAATATGAAATACAGGAAAAATTCGTATACTTTTGAGAGGCAATTTCATGGACTTTTTTAAAAAATCCACATTTAATTTAAGTCAATGCAAATTTTTCAAGTTTTAAAAAGCGTGATATCAAACATAAGGACTATCTAGACAATATAACAAATTAATTTATTTATTTTGCACACAAAATATATTATTAAATTTGGTTTCTTTTTATAGTTTACCCAAATTCGAATAATTATGAGAGACACTGTATGTAGCTACAGCAACGGTGGCCAGAAAGAGAGTGTTTAAAACGCATATGTGTAGTGTAAAATACAAAAAAGAACATAAATGAAAATATGTGTGATGATATGTTTGTACTTATTTGTGTTATTCATATCATTTGCATTATAAATTAATAATGGAAGGAATGAGTGTGTCGATATATGTATGTATGTGCTAATGAAAGTATGTATTGATGCATATTTTGATGTAAGTATGTATTGATGCATGTGTATTTATGTCCATACTTATGTTGTAATGTATTGATGCATGGATTTATGCATTGATGTATGTACGTATTATTGTGTTTGTTGTTTTATATTTTAATGTATGTATGCATTAATGCATATGTTGTTGTTTGTGTAAGTATTGTTACATGTGTCTATTAGGTATTCAAACGATGAACCGTCGATCGATAAAATTTTGGCGATTAATTGCTTGAATAAATGAAAATACAAATATAATTATTTGTCTAATAAATCTATCAAAAGTATTCATATAAACATTTATTTGTAACGGCTTTTGAAAATATTCTCTGTGTATAATTTTATAAAGAGAGCAACTAAACTAAATTGTTTTTGTTTTGTTTTGTTTTGTTTTGTTTTTAGTTTGTTTTGTTGCTGAGAAATTCATATTGCGTGTGTATAAGTGAGAATAACACAATACCCGCAGGGGAATGTTTAGCCACCGTTGAGCTACAGGGATATTGATGTATTATTTTGTATGTTTGATTTTTAAATAAATTTCCACAAATAAACAATAAATATTGTGTCTTTTCCTATAGATATCATCTTAATTCGATCTGATCTTTCAAAGTATCGTTCGCAACAAAATTCTACGAAAGATGATATTATACTTACAGTGTTGTACCTGAAATACATGTTATTTAATAAAATACTTATATGGATTATTAATTTGTTTTATAAATTACGAATTACGAATAGTAAGACGTTTTTTATTTTCTAATACACATTAAACCAAAATTACTTTACAATTACAAAAGCTCTGATTGTGGCCCATTCGTAAATAATACAAATTAACAATTTCCAATTTGATAATTATAATGTTTAGAATAGAAGTATAAACTAAAATTGTACCTTACACAAAATAATAAATAAAAACCAATTAGATTATTAGTTCGAAACTGCTGGGGATGTAGTAGATTTTGTTTGAATGTCTGATAGATAAATCGTTTAATGTTGTATTATTGAACGATTGATTGATTGATTTATTTACTTAATGTCGATATGACTGACATTTGGCTCTTACTTGAAATTTTTACTTATTTTAAGCTAGACATATACGTTTTTATGTATTAGTTCCGTATGTATGTATATATATTTTTTAATGTATGTATGTTAAAATGGATCACTGAAGACTCGCAGACTACACACATACAAGTTAACATTATGACATTCATTGACATAAAAGGCTTCTATAAATAAATGCTCTTGCTGGTTGTCATCGTTCTGGTCAATTGGATTTTATTTCCAAATTACCAAAAGCACTTTCAAGGGATAAAATCAGTTTATCGTTATTTTCAATCTTTGACAATTTCGATGTTCTCTGATTGGCTTGTTCTAAAGCCCATTGAGCCATTTTAAGGGCTTCTTTGCGCTTGGATCCAAGAGCCCTAGAGTTTGCTATGCTGCTGCAGCACTATTTTAAAATTTGAAAAAAAAAAAATCAAATAAAAAACAAAGTTTCCAAAAAATTAATGCAACAAACTTACCAAATATAAACCATAAAGTGCACGCAAATTGTTTGGATTAAGTTTTAAAGCCTGTGAATAATACGTGCGAGCCACTTCAATATTCTCCATACCACCCTAAAAAAATATTTATAATAATGTGTTCAACTATCAGAGCTTTAAAATGTTGAATATAAAAAATATATAAAATAATTAATAGCTAGTGACAATATTAATGAATGATTTTAAAATTACTCGAAATTTATAACACAGGCAAACAAATGTTTAACCCGGAGAACAAAACAGCGCTGAATTTCTCAACACATTATGTTTTCGAGATATACATATGTAAAATCTGTTATATCATTTGAAAGTCTAATATGTCGACTTTGAATTAATGGATCCCTTCGTTATACCCGCTTCCTACATCGAGATATTTTAACGTAAAGCTTGAGATTGCCACAAATTTTCAAGAAGTGAATTTTATACTGCATTTCGATTTTTTACGATAAAATAAAGTGAA